ACAGCAGGTGTGATGCTGCTGAGGGCCACCTGAGTGCTGATGGCCCAGATACCTGCCAGTGTGGAACATTACAGCCATGTCACCTGTACTTCACACAAAGACTGACCTGCAAGTTTCCTTTGTCCATGCAAATATTTTTCACAATTATTTAAGATTTAAATCGTCTCATTCTGGAACAACTACTTTTTTTGTATGATTTGTTCTTCAACTGGAGTCAAATCAACTCTATGGTGTCTTTTATCAAGTACAGGCTGCACGAGTATTTTTTATGTACGGTATAAAGGTGTTTATATCTCATGTGCCACGTACTGTAATGTTGATATTGTTAATGTTAATGCCAGTGAACATTTTATGCCTTTTTGCACTGATATAAGAAAAGGGGAAACTGGAAATGGTGGTAGCGGTCCAAATGTACTCAAATACCGTGATAAAGTATTTTATTGCAAGGTGTGGATAAAAAATATTATACTGTATAACTATACTGACAAAAGTGTAACGTCTATAAAAATTAATATTTGTTTAAAGACACCACATCAGGCCATGTCTTTGTAATGTACCAAATGATTGAATATGTTTATTTGTAACACTAATATTTTAAACCGAGTAAAGGGAAGGGGGAAGAAGGGGGGGGCGATAAAGATGTTCATGTCATCCTCCGTTTGACCTCTAGGTGGCAGGTGATCTACAGGCGTCTGTCTTTGACTTTTTGTCTTTGACTCCTGTGAGAGCGTTTCATGTCCATGTCCCCCCGGTGCCAGTGATGGACTGACGGACTGGTCCGGTCCTACTTCTGTGACCAGGGAGAGGCTGGGCTCCGTCTCCCTCTCCCTCTTAACCCCCCCCCCCCCGAGGCATCCTGACCCAGAATCATTGCAGCCAGAAACTTTTCTTTCTGGGGCTCCTAAAAGTTACAGACATGTTGTCCTACATAGAGGACAGACTATTTATTACCCTCTTCTCCCTCTCCAGCCCCAGTTGCTGATACAATACACAGATGGCGCTGTGCGTGAGCCTTTAGCCACCCGTGCTTTATTTATGTCCCGTTCAGTTGTTTTTATGACACTTGTGTTAAAGCGCTACTGACTTCTTTACAACACACCGTGTGGAGTTTGACATCAGTTAGTGATTAGAGACACTGACAGCTGTCCTCGTGTCTCACAGGGTGGAACGTTTGTTTATGACAGGCTGGTGTTTCATCTTATCAGACACAAAATTACCATCAGTAAAACAAACGCACAGGCTGTGCACTGGTTCACAACAGAATTTTAGCAAGAGGTTCTGGGGAAGGTGGTCGAAATTTATAATATTGTAATGCGAATAAAAATGCAAAAAATACTTTTATAATATTGTAATGCGAATAAAAATGTAAAAAATACTCAAATATATACTATTCAACCTCTTGAACAGGTGAAAACTTGAATATTTAGGACAGAAGCAGATTTGTTTATCCTTACTGTATTTTATCTTATATTTTTTAAAATACATTTTAAGTAATGATGTCCTATTAGCCTATTAGCCATTAGCCTATGTACAGTAATATCGGTTTGAATGGTTTTCTCTGACAGTATAGCCATTAGCCTATGTACAGTAATATCAGTTTGAATGGTTGGTAATGTGACCTTAGAGAAGTGAAAGTAGGAGTGAATGATTGATTCATACGGCTGCATATATCAGTTGATGTCGGAATCGGAAATTAATATCGGCACAAAAACATAAATACATGGGATGTTGACTAAGACTATTTGAATTCTAATGGACAAGGATTTGTTTTGGTTTGACAGTGGGACAACAGCGGTGTCATAATCTATGGTTACGTCCTCTCAGCCCTGGGCAGTGATAATGCAGATACAAGTAAATAATCAATCATATGCGCAGAGCCTGCTCCGTTACAGCCTAAAGACTCATTAACAAATATTGACAGAGAGGTGAAACTGGACCTGGGCCGAGCCCCACTCACGGCGTATCATACAGTAGGAAGGCCGATGCCACGGCTGTGTTGACGTTGCAAGGCCTTGTGATAAGCGAAGCCTCTCATCTTGAACAGGGATGTGTGGGCTGCAGATCCTCCAGGGAAAGGAACTGGTTTTGTTATATAATACCTAGAGATTAAAATAAAAACGGTAATGGATTGGGAAATGGGATTGAAAGGAAAACTGCTCTGCCCATTTGACACCATCTTGACAGTTCCAAGTTTGCACCTCGTGTTTCTCAGACGAGAGGGGGAGGTTGGGAGGAGGAGGGGGGCTGCAGAGGGGCTGCAAAGAAAGAGGGACGCACTTTCATGTCCCACTTTGCAAACTCTTTGCAGCCTACACTGCCAAGTCAGTGTTACACCTTTTCCACCTCCTGTGAAGCTTTAAATAGCTCATTCTCCCTCAACAGGACAAAAACAGAAAAACAGCCTG